AAAGATCGTTGCCTCTAAAAAACATTCTAAATATAGGTATAATAATGTTGCCCATCACTACATCCCGTGCAATGCACGGGTGGAAGTACTAGTCATAATAATGTTCAAAAAACAAATAGTCATAATAATGTTCAAAAAACAAATGGAAAGCAACAATCTAGTATTTGTTTTGGTGTAAAGGAAAATCACATGAAATGAAGCATAATAGTTCATATCCTTGGATGTCAAGGGCAAGTTATTAGCTTCAGTCCATCGATAATCCATTGAATATCTTATCCATCAGCCATGATGAAAGTGAATCATCAAAACAGCTGCTATAATCTTTTCTTACGACAGCACGAGGCCGAAACTCAATGCCTTGAACGATAATAAATTCATAATCCCAATCAACAGCAACAGACACTCGCAGATCCTCATCGTTGCCATTTGCTCCATTATTGAAGAAGGATTTGATTTCTATCTCCTCCCACCCATCTTTTCCCACCCTCTTGTTATTTCCAATTATAGGGAAATCCTCAAGGGCATCAATGGATGAATCACTATGTTGGTAATAGCCCTCCTCGTATGCATCTTCATCTTTGTACATCAAATAACACGAGTAATGTGTTTCCTTGGACAACAACATTTGATTTGGCCTGAAAGCGCTAAAATTGGTTAAATATTAAGAATTATGAAAAATTGTTCTCATGATATCATTTATTAATAAAATGGTGTACGTACAAAGGAAGGCAGCATAAACCGTTTTAGAAAATTGAACAAGAAAGTAGTTATAACTTTAATTTTTTGGATTATTATATAAATCTTGTGTGAAATCAAAACTCAATATTTTAACTATTCGTCAAAATATCAATTGATAAGGTGAAAAAGAAGGTTAATAATTAAATGAGATCCTAACTTAATTAATGGTTTTGGCTCCAGGTTAGTCATGGACCGGTTGCCGACTCCTTCAAGGGAGGAAAGGTAACCAGACCCTTATAAAGGAGCAGTTTTTTATATTAATTTCGCGAAAGTATATAAGAATACAAGAAAACCTCTAGACATTTATTACAGAATTGATCGTAAGCCCTAGGGATAGACATAAAGATAGTCCACTTCATACAAAACAACATGATTTGCTAGACACAAAGCAGACAATTTTAAGTTTAAAACGACCAAAACCGAAAGCTTATCTATCAAAAGTACTCAAAATATCCAAATATCCAAATCAAACCTATTGGAACTAAAATAAAAACAAGTACTAGTGAAGAAAAAATAATACTTGAATAGAGTCTTAAAGTCTTTCCACAAAACTCTTTCTGACATGGAGTTGGTTTTCTTCTAATTTCGTTCCTCATATATGTAGAAATAATTAAATACGTAAAATTTTATATACTATTTTATCTTCATTTTATATCAAAGTTTTAAATGTACAAATTATTTTAAATTTATATGATGACCACTAGTTCCCTTTCTTTTGAAATCCCCAACCACACTAGCTCTAAAAATTTTGGGAAGAAAATTAAAAGACGTTAGGTGATTCAGTTTTTCGGTTTATTAGCCAATTTTTCACTAAACATGCTTAACTACTACATTTCAACCCTTAATGTATCACTCAAAAATGTTACGTACAGTATCGCTCAAAGGTGTTACATTAGAGAAAATGTAACATTTTTTACCATTACATTTTCTTATGTTGCATTTGCCCTAATGAAACACTTTATAGTCCCTAATGCAACATTTATACTTCTAAAAAGTGATACACTAGGTTAATATGTACTACGTAACACTTTTATAGACATGTTACACCTTTAATGTTACGTTATTAGGACTAAAATTGTAGTAGTGACGTAATTTTTCTGATTGTATTGGCTGAAATAATTGTAGAAGATTATTTTAACTATTCTTGAAAAACAGGATAATTTATCAATAAAATGTATTTTAAATATAATTTTTTAATAAATCAACAACATCAGCTGATCCATCCACTTCAGTGACCCACCTATTTCAATTAAAACTTTTTAATTTTAATAGAATCAACCGATTTTAATATGAAAAAAAAAACTTTGTGTACACCATACACGTTTTGCACATAACCCTATTTTTGTTAGTGCACGCTAGCTGGTAAGACCACTTGCAATCTTGGAGTGAAAAGAATAAAGTTAATGTTTTCACATTAAATTCTTATATAATCAATGGTATAGGAAAGGGGGGGGGGAGTGGATGGTTAGAACTTAGAGCATCTTTAGTGGCGCTATCAATTGTTCAAAATGCAAAGCCACGTAATTTAAATAGACATTGGGATAAGAAAATCTCTCCAATGGCAATGTCTATTTATATAGTGGTGCTGAGTTGGAAATGAAAAAAATCGACATTCTCTATTGCTCTTTCTCATTCTAGCAGGTCTTTTAGACATGCTGACTCAGCAAAAATTAATTAGTTTCGTATCTTGGAGAAGGAAACCCGCCGTATGCCAACGATTTCTCTGCAACTTTCTTCAATGCTCAAATTGAAGCATCCATGTCAATATGTCATTGATAGGAAATTAATCGGCTAAAGCGAATTCCACTTAATTCACAAAAGTTCAATTTAGGAAATCTACACATCTGAACTCAATTTCACATTCGTAGTTCGTATAAACATAGATGATGTATATATATAAACCTAATTCCTGCTAACTTCAATCTGGAGTGGCGCAACCGCACAAATATGTTCGTACATCTCTTTTTTCATTTGGAGAAGAAGATATTTGAAAGAAAAGTTATGCTCCGTAATAGCCTATGACAATTTCATAAACGGAAGATGTGGTGTGAATATAAATTCATTCTTTAATTTAGGATTGCATTGGAGCACAAATAATATTTTCAATGTCTGTGTGTCCACGTCAGCTTCACGGGCCTTCTACATAAATGACATGTCCATTTTTTACAAGATACAATCCACGATACCATTAAAGATGCTCTTAGGGTGGGGAATAACCAAAACACTTTTCACTCCGAAGGGAGAAGAAAAACCAAAATAATTTCGTTCCTCATATATGTAGAAATAATTAAATACGTAAAATTTTATATACTATTTTATCTTCATTTTATATCAAAGTTTTAAATGTACAAATTATTTTAAATTTATATGATGACCACTAGTTCCCTTTCTTTTGAAATCCCCAACCACACTAGCTCTAAAAATTTTGGGAAGAAAATTAAAAGACGTTAGGTGATTCAGTTTGACGGATACAAACGAATATATGGTGATCGCTGCCCTGAATGACTGAATCCCCTGATCCCCATCCTCCATTCATCGAAACTGGGCGATCAAATGATCGAGTTAAGCTTACTCAACTTCCTGTTTGTTGGTTGGAAGCTTTAGCTTGAGTCAAGAGCGGACTTAGGGCACTGACTCTGACTGAACCAGTTTTAAGAATATTTTGAGAAAAATATTCACCCTAGGTTGGCTCCCTTGATCCACACATGGGTTTAATTGATACCCAAAGAGAGAGTCAAAGAGAGAAGAGAGAGAAAGACTCTTTCGAGGAGGATATAAAAGATTAAATTTCTATTGTTAGAGACTGAATGAACATATCCAGACAATATTGGGCGTGTTTGGCAACGGTTAGCGGATGACGAATTTTGTTAGCGGGCTGTCAATAGTGTATTCGATCAGCCGATTTGACTAGCGGAATAAATTAGCGGATTGTGAGAATGTGTTTGGTAATTTAGCTGTTTGGCCATAAAATTGATAGAAAACGCATTTTTCAAAACACCAACCTAAAACCCTCCTATTAGCAGCGTTTTTATTTCAGCGTTTTCGTCCAAAAACGCTGGTGCCGAACAATTATTTACCAAACAGTTTTTTCGATTATTGAAAACGGTAAGAGTGGTCAAACCGCCATTTTAAAGCTGAAACACCGTTTACCAAACACCCACATTATCTTTACAGATGACCGAAGAGTTTACTGTTAGTACTATTATTGAGGGTGATTTCTTTTTTGACGGGATTTCTGTGCAGACAATCCCAAAACACGAGACTTTTTCAGATTACCGAAAATAACGTGAATGCCAAATCTGAAATTGTGGTTTAATTTATTTTACACATCATTTATTTAAAATCATATATTCATAAATAAGTTAAACTATAAAATAAAATACGGTATAATTTTTCTAAATTAGTGAATAAACTAATTTTATTACAGGGGTAAGAATGCATACATCGGACCCCCCTACCTTATCGTAGGTGGGGAGTCTTTGCGACACTAGGGTAATGATGATGATGATGAGTAAAGAAACTAATTTCATTGTATTTAGTACAATATTTTGTTACGGAGTATTATTTTAAATTCAGAAATAAACTAGCTAAAACTAAAAAAAGTGTTATAAATTAATAGTCTAATACGTAGTGCACCCTCCGTCCCAAATTATAAGGCACTTTACGATTTACGATGTTTGACTGACGATAAAGCGAATTGATCCTTGTCAACACTCAAATTAGTTTCATAAACCGCTACAAAACCGGCAAAAGAAATTCAAATTTCATAAAATTTTGATATATAAAGTAAGAGATTAAGAGTGATTTGAGTTGACCAAGTGAATAGGAAAGGTATTTTATAATTTATAAAATAGGACTGAAAGAGTAATAATTAGGGGTGTAATCAATCCACTCTAGGTCAAGTTTTCGCTGAACCCAAAAAATACCACTCAGGTCTCAAGTTATGAAAGTTAGAACTTAGAACCGAAAATCAATATGTCCAACCCTAGTCAGAAACCAAAACAAGGTCCATTATTGTACTTGGTCGAAGTCAGGTTTTGATAGAACGGGTTCTACTAGGAATGGCAAAAAAACCGCCCTGCCTTGCCCCGCCCCACCCGAAACGTTTGGGGCGGGTCCGCCCCGCCCCGTAGCTTAAATGGGTCGGGTCCGGCCTGGCCCGTTCTTTATTCAGGTGGGGTTTGGGTATTAGTTTCACCCCGCCTCGGCCTGACCCGCCCCGGCCCACCCCGAATGTTTACTAAGGATATTAACAGTTTAGTAGCCGACTCGCCTCTTAGGCTTCCATTTCTTGAATAAAGTGATAAACAAATGGCCGTGGAAGACACCAAAGGTCTTGCTTCTTTAATTAAATTGTGCGGCCATAGAAGACACCAAAGGCCATGAACTCCATTTATAAAGTCACCCATCGGCAAGTGTTAGATGGCTATAATCACTTGAATCGCGCGTCATCCCAGTAGCTGCGCGCATCTTCCATTTTGTACATCAAATAACACGAGTAATGTGTTTCCTTGGATAATAACAACTGACTTGTCATTTTCAAAGTAATGTCAAACACACCTTTGTATAAAGTCAGTTTTGCTACCTCCTTAAACCTACAAACACATCAACACAAAATATACATGTATTATGAGAGGGGCAAGACTTATGATGAAATGGAACCCTTTCATTTAGGGTCTGTTTGCAACCCATTAAAAAAAGTGCTTTTAACTTTTTTTTAAGAAAAAAACACTTATTTTATCAAACACTACCAACTTTTACTTTCTCGGCTTCTGTGTAGAATCTACTTTTTACTTTTTCTATTACACAAAAAGCACTTATTTTACCAAACACTACCAACTTTTACTACTAATCACTTTTTCCCCAAAATTGCTTTTATTTAAGCAGAAGTGGTTGCAAACAAAGCCTTATTTGATTGGAGTCCATTCGTAACACCAAATCCTTTACGAATTTATAAGGTGAGATCGTTACACCGTGCTGCCGGTATATTTTGCCTACAATACATCATTTTTTTTCCCTTTTCTATGGTTTCTTCTTCTTTATTTTTATTTTCCTACATTGTTTTCCATTTCTCTATCAAAATATTAAATATTTAGTTGTAATTTTTTATCCTCCCCATTTCGTATTTATACACTAATTTTATCTGTAATATTTTTACAGTCATACACTTTTTTGTAATATATTTATGAGATAACTATGAAAATGGACATCATGGTTACACCCGAATATCATATTTGACACTAAGATTTCAAACGGATTAAATTGGACAATATTGTCGCATGCGATTATGCGAATCTCATATTGGACACTAGAATTTCAAATAGACCAAATAAACATAAGTTTAACATATTTTTGGTCATTCTTTTGTAACTCACCTAATGTATGTTTTTCATACTTCGTCGGTGTAAGTCGTTGTTATTATTTTTCCTTTATTTATGGTACCTAAAAAATCTTAACCCGTGTATTTAGATTTAGAATATATAATTAGATGAACCTATTAAGAAAACTAGTTTTGTATAATAGAATTCCTGAATTTCATTAAATCAATTTAACGACAGATATGATAATCACATTGATCTTTCTCCCTATTTTTTTCATATTTGCACATTTTTTTCAAGAGTATCGATTTAAATCGTAAACTCATACGGGTTTATGTTTCTACACAAATAAATTGATTTAAATCACAAGTAAAATCATAAATTCATGAAATCGTACACAATCTTAATAGAATCGTTTAAAATCATAACAAATCAAAGTGATGAGTTTTAATGAAATAGCATAGTGCAGTTATATGCATTGCAGATAAGACATCAAGAAATGTAGTGTGTACATCTATCATATGCAGTCTAAAATTTGAACATAATTTTGGGACTATATGTATTTTATTCCTGAAATAGAACTTATTTGATCCTATTAAAAGTATAAAATATCCCCTAATTGGAGTGAATAAATCCTGAGAAAGTTCCCGAAATAGGACTAAAACAGTTTGAAAATTACAAAATAGAACTGTCATGCTTTTTATTCCCAAAATAGGAGTAATTACTGCCAGGTTTGCAAAATATTGAAGTCTGGTACTGCCAAAACATGACAGTTTTTAGTCCTATTTTGGGAATAAAAACATGACAATCCTATTTTGGAATTCTCAAACCTTTTTAATCTTATTTCGGGTAATATTTTCATAAATCCTATTTCAGGAAGAAAATAGTGATAGTCTTATTCATGCATTTTTATTTTATTCCTATACTCCTATATAAGAAATATTCTCTTACATTCAATAAAACAAGCCATTAATCTTAGATTCAAATATTTGCATTCACTTCTTGTTTCGTACAATTGATTTTTTTGCAGTTCATTATTTTTCAATTGGATTTGGAGTTTTGGACTAACCTGGCATGTGGATCATATGTGGTTAGCAACTGATTAGAAACATTCGCCCCACTGAACTCAAGTTCCGCTGCTGAAATCATAACGCATTTCTTGCCTGTATGCTTGTCTAGATAAAATACCTATTTTCAATATTAAAAATGAGCTTACACATTAAGTAAAAGAGAGAATTCTCTAATAGGAGTAAAAACGTTTTGAAATTTCAATATAGAAGTATAATGTTTTTTATTCCCTAAATATGAGTAAATTTCTGTCAAGTTTGGACATTACAGGACTTTAAACATGACATTTTTTTTCTAACTTGGCAGCTTACTTCTATTTAAACAAAAAACAACACATCTATATATCATCTAGAATTATCGTCCATGAAAACGAACGATAAATGAAAAAGAAATGACATACATATTATTAATAGAGTTTTTTAGGATAAAAATTTTATTAGTTTTTTTTTTTGACATAAATGTGACTAATCACTACACACAAGTCACTAACCAAGAATCATCATGGTGTATTTTAGAGTGACAAGTGGGTGATAGATAATGAGTCACTAGAACTAGGCATTGAATATATCACATTTTTAGAAAATTCTAAAATACTCCGTAAGTCATATTTTTTCTTTTGAATTTAATTTAGTAATATTAATGAAAAAGACTACAAAAGAAAACATAAATGATACTTCCTCAAACCTTAAAATCTTTCCGTTTTAACTTGGGTCAAAACTTAACAAAGTGAAAATAAAATAGAAATATATGACTTTGATTGAGTAAGAAAATGTAAATGAACATTAATCACACAAAACTTTTTAAAAAGTAAATGAGAAGAACTTTAAAACATTTAAGTGGAAATAATTTTATAGGACGGAAGAAAAGTACTCCCTCCGTCCCAAAATTATCTTCATAGTTACTATTCACATGGTCAACTCAAATTACTCTTAATCTTTTACTTTATGTATCAAATTTTTATCAAATTCAAATTTTCTTAATCAGGCTTTGTAGCAGTTTTAATATAGTTTCTGAATATGTAAATTTTATTTACTAAAAATAATTCGAGTGTGAACAGGGATCAAGTTGCTTTATCGTCAGTCAAACATCGTAAACAGAACTATGAAGATAATTCTGGAACGGAGGTAGTACCTTTTTGCCTTCTTCAAGGACGAAAGAAAACCCGGAGAGGCTAAAAAACAGCTGCTTCTTGGTGGGCGGAGATTCAAGGGGGAAGGGAGTGGATGATTTGGAAATGATGTCGTCAATATCGGAGGGCACAAATTTGCTCCAAGCATTGTCAGAGTCGGATGCTGATTTGAAACGCTTAGAAATGATAGAAAATGCCGATACATCCACCGGCGAAGTTAAGGAAAGAATTTCAGAGATACATTCCTCAGGCAATTTTGCAAAGTCGTCGTCCATTTTCTCGTTTTGATCTGTGAAAGCAGCGTATGTAGGGGCACACTTTTTGCTTTTTAAGAGTTACGAAGGGGCTGTTTACTTTTTATTTCATTAAGTCCTGTCTGGATTAAGATGTATGTCTAGATTAAGATGTCTATATGGATTAAGTGACATTGTGATAACGGACTGTTTACTTTGTGTGCTGAATGAGAAGTCTGAATAATGTCAAATAACCAATTTACCCTTTTGTAAAGAACAAGTGAAGAACGTTAATCGTCGATTCACTTTTCTTATTTTGTAACATAATTTGGAATAAGTAACGAAAAATTATTATACTATGAAGAAATGCAAAGATGGGCACCCAAATATGCAGAAAATGATAAAATAATCCCAAATATAACCTGCCGAAATATTCAGGAACAAAGTGTTGTTTTTTGCCGAAAACATTTTCCGAAGATGCAAAAATAGTGCCCAATTGTGCAGAATTACCTAGAATAAATTCATGCCTAGACAAAGAAATTTATATTCGAAATCATACAAATCATGAGATAAATTCCTGAACTCATACCAAATGAAAATGTAAAAATATGAAATCATGAGATTATACTTTGATGATGATGATGATGATGTGATAGAGGAGATGAAGATAGTTGCTCTAGTGTATATAAATGGTTTGTCCGTTGTCTGAACTTCGAAGTAGATGAGGAGAGCCACCTATGAGAGAAAGAAACGACGTCAATGGGGTTAAAAAGGAGAAATATGGTCTGTTCCACAGTCTGAATCGGAAGGAGTCCTGTTTTTGCGCTGAACCAATAAGTCCGTTTTGGACTGAGCGAATAAGTGATGTTTCTCATTAAGTCCTAAATAAACACAAATTAATGATTGAATGATTATGCCATCCATCTCATTAAGTCCATCAAGTCCTAAATAAACAGGCCCGAAGTGTTTATATTCAAGCAAAAACGACTCTTAAAATTCCACGCTTCCTTTGTCCTAAACTCTGATTTTCAAAATACATTAATTATTCTATCACAAATTCATTATACTTTAGTTATACGTAGTACTACTTGTCTGCTTTATACTGCGTGAAAAAAAATGTGTGTTACTTAACTGCTTATAATATTCAAATTCAATGTTTTGCTATTGGATACATTTTAAGTGTAACTAAATGTAAATAGGGAAAATCGCATCTTTCCCTCAATTATGCACAAATTTTAAATCTCAAACCTGTATTTCTGAGATTGTAAATGTCACCCTTCAATTGTCCAAATTGTTGTAAATGTGGTCCTTTAAGTAGTGAAATCACTGAAATGTACGTACGCTCGCCCACATTGTATATTTCACCCCTCAAAAGGACCACATTTACAACATTTTGGATAATTGAGGGGTGACAGTTACAGTGTCAAAAACACAGGGCTGAAATTTGAATTTTGTGGATAATTGAGGGACCATATATGCGATTTTCACGGGTAAATAGGGAAACATAATTACAATACCACAAACTTTAAAGGAATGTGAGATGAATATCTCAAACTTGCATATGTAATCTAAATATTTCAAATTTTATATAAAAGTTATTTTATCACAAATGTTAATTGCATAATTTAAAATATTTTAGAATTCATGAAGACGCAATTGACATTCTAAACTTACATTGCAAAATAAATATATTACCCCTCAACCTATATAATTGCAACACTTTTAATTTTCTATTATAAATTATGCAATTATAAACCCATAAATTTACATTTTTGAAAGATATAATACATGACAATGACGCTAAAATAACTTTTTATATATAGTTTTTGGAGTATTTCAATTACATATGCAAATTTGAGGTGTTTATCTCACACCCATCAAAGTTTGGGGTAGTTTTTATTATTCTTGCCATGTAAATATGATTACTAACCAAGTGTTTTTGGAGAATTAAGTAAATTTATATTAAAATAAGAGAAATGTTTAAAAAATGAGTAAAATATACTACCTTCATTCTTTTTTAATTGCAACATTGGTGAATTTCACTATTCACATGCTATATTTTGACTTTATTTTATTTATTAATATATTAGAAATTATTATTTTGAAAAATATTACTAATTTCCCTCGATTTGATTTTTCAAAGTTTGAATTTTTTAGTTTTTTAATAATAAATAATGAAAAACATTAATGATCAAAATTGTGTTTTGTCAAACTCAATGAACCGTTGCTATCGAAATGGAACGGAGGAAGTACGTGCAAATTTCATGTCAGGCCAGTTAACTTCATACATATAAACTGTCCAGTTAACTTCAAGAAATTATTTGAGTGTCATCCCGATTGAAAATTTAGACATTTTTTAAAGGGAAAAGTACGGAAAAGGTGCTTGTGGTTGAGTCCGTTTTTAGATAGGATCATGTGTTTCATTCTTTATCAAAGTGTTTGAATTCTATTATCACAAAAGGGTCACGCCGCTAAAAACGTCTGAAAAAGACCGTTAAAAGTAACTTTGATTTTCAAAAGTGCCCGAAAAATTAAAAGAAATATACCGAAAGGTGCGCCTCAATATGACGATCGCTAGACCATCTTTCTTTTTTGTTTTCAGTCACCCTTGTCACCGGAAAAGTAATATTAGCGAATTTTAAAAAAAAAACAGATCTGAAAAATCCAAAGGCGAAGGTGGTTTGGAGGTCATCTTGACGAGGCGCACCTTTCGATAATTTTTTTTTTAATTTTCCAGACACTTTTGAAAATCAGAGTTATTTTTAACGGTCTTTTTCAGATGTTTTTAACGGTGTGATCCTCTTGTGATAACGAAATTCAAACACATGAACCACTTTGATAAAGAATGAAACACATAACCATATCTGTAAATGGACCCAACCACAAGTACATTTTTCGTATTTTTCGCTTTTTTAAAATTGGGTGTGAAAGGACCTAAGTTGGCCCCTAGATCTGCCCTGTAGCTATTTGGTTTAAAAATTAAGACTAAATAAAATATAATTTTAGAAAAAATAAATTAATCTAATTTTTAAATTTTGTTTACATCCTATTCTTATTTTGAATAAATTCTCTTAAAATTAAGGTCTGAAATGAAACTATTTGTCGGATAAAAGCGAGATCGAGTACATATGTTCCCAAAATTATACGGAGTATAAACTACATACAATCAAAGAAAAAGAAGTAAACAAAACGATAAAAAGCCTTATGGCTGTTGTCCGCCCTCGAACCAGACTGAGAATTCATCACCTCTGTAGAAGCAATAACATTCGTTGATCCTGTAATGGGCTTAACTGAGCCAATGACAGCCCTATGAAACTGGAGAGAGAGTTCTCGCTCAAATAGAGACTCATGATTAACTTTATAACTGCTTACATTTATATTTAAACACGTTCATGGACAACTGTGGTATTTTTGTCATCAAATTTGCTAAATTTCTAATGATGGATAAAGATTTGAGTGAAGTTTTGAAGGAAGAAGGTGATAGCTACCGCTAAAATTGACGACGGAGCAACTGTTGTATGCATCAAGATGGAAGTAGTTAGACTACGATGCTTTGTAATAATTTGGATTAGGGTGTTGGGAAAGAAAAAACATGTAAAATTTCTTCTTTTGGTCTTTGAAAGTTTTTCCTAATATTGGTGTCAATTGATTTAATTTGACTACATATAATCTTCTTTTTTAGTGGCATGTCAAATGCTTGGTCACTCTTATTTAGTGTTGAGTTGATTCATAATCCTTGTTGAAGTAAGCAATACAGTATATAAGTAGATAGTAAAAAGTCCTTAGTGTCTCAGGCATAGACATTAAATTCATTCAAGCATAAATATAAGTACAAACTTTAGTACAAAAATGAGGCAACATGAAATTTGATAGATTCAGAAATGAAATTTAGATATATTTCTCATGCATAGGTATTAGGTACAATACAAATCACATGAACATGAAGGTTTATACATTTATTTTGAATACATAAATAGATGTATGAGTACAATCAACAGACTGTTGTGTTCAATCAGCACTTCAGCAGCCTCAAGTCTTCAATTAGCACTTCATTAACCTCTTGTCTTCAATTAGCACTTCATTAACCTCATATCTCCAATTAGCAGGCATGTGAGGCATGTTAGTTTTACCTTGTGGGAGTACAATAACATCATATTCATTCCTCAACACCTATCTCATGCAAATTTTGGGTCTATCACTAAGATTTCTTGTTGTGACCACCTTTCTTGCACCAAGAACAACAATGATGAGATGCAAATTCACCGGTTGAGGGTATGCTCTTCATTTTGTCCAAATAAGATGTCTTGTCGAGACCACCTTTTTGCACAAAATTGGAGCTAGCTTTAAAACAATTTAAATCGAACTCCAATAGTACGTAATCTTTAATTTTCTTCCCATTTCAACTTTTCAAGAACTCAAACTAGTTTTAAATAATTGAGAACTTGTTCTAAGAAATAAAACATATTTAGTTCTGTTTTTGAACTTTGCTTATGTTTTAATTTGTCCTATATTGAGCAACTTTATATTTTATCGATTCGTTGTTGTCAACTTTCTATTATTGTCATTATTTCATCATGGTTATGGATGGTTAAAGCCTAAAGGCATGAATTAGCCTTGATAATGTATCAAGCCTTGATGGTTTTATTAATTGATATTCTATGGATAAGTAGTTGGATCGGAGATCTTATAGTTTTTTTTGTCTGTACTTTGTATAACTTTCTAAATCCAATATAGTATTTCTTCAATATAAAATGTCAACAACTTATAATGAGATGAGATTTAGACTTCTTACCTTTCATATGCTAATACTACGTATTTAAATTACAAACGTGATTTTTTGTGTTTCTTCAGCAGTTTTTTATGTCGTTTTACAATTTGAAAACAGGGCTTTTTTCTCGATAAAAGTACCGGCAAGAAATGCTTCGTGGTTGCAGCCGCAAAACTTATTTTCACCGAGAGGAGTGATTCAAATGGTCTGCATATGGTTAAGGATGGCAATGGGGGCGGGGACCCGTGGGGAACCGCCCCGCGGGGAAAGGATGGGGCGGGGCTTGGGGCGGGGTGGGGACGGGGATGGG